ATGTATTATGTTGGTTACGCGATCTGTTCGTACGATTATAGTATCTTAAATGAAATAATGTTTTAAAATAGATACATCTAAGGATACCGGCATATAATAAAAATATACTAAAATGGGAAAATTTCGTCAATACAATTTCAGCTTTATCACAAAGACATAAAGTTTAAGAAACGATTAAAGAATTTTCACTACTCAGTATACTTTGATTTGCTACCGTCTTTTTTTTTTTTTTTTTTTTTTTTTAAGGGGGGAAAATCATCGAATGACTGCTCCCGCCTGGGTGAGGCGGAAGGGAGTGTCAGATCTTACTGACTAAAAAACCACCCCGTTCCTTCTCCTGCACGTCGAGCCGGAGCCCGGTTACCCGTTAGGTTCTCCGCGACTCCGAATCGGCATCGGCCCTATTGGGCCCCATCTGTGGTGGTCTGATGGCTCTTTGAGGCGCGCGCGGAACGCGACGCGCCGTACGCTCGGGTCTGTTTCTGGTCGGACGGGGAGCCACCCATGCTCGCCGTCCGCAGGCCCGCGCTCACGGTGGCCGGAGATCGTCCCGCGATCCCCGACGCCCGGTGTGTCCTTCGCGATGGCTGGGTCGCGAGGAGGCAGCGCTTCGCTGCCTCACGCGTCCCGCCTCCTCCTTAGCTAGCATGACTGCTTCGCAAAAGGAGGAGACGGCATCCCAGTCCCAATTTGCTACCGTCTACATTTACTACAGGTTATCAATAGACAGATATGTTTGTTTGTCTAGAAAAATGGTATTTAAAACTTGTATAGTGACAATTGGCTATAATTATTATTAATGGAAGGTGTTCATTATACAGTGAAACTTGATTAAGTGGGACCTGGATAAGTGAGAAACCTCCATAACTGGAACTCATGCTGAGGTCCCAACACTTTGGCACTGAATTACCTCTGTTAGTGGGACGAGGTAAACCTCTATATCTGGGATTCGTTCTTTCGATTTTTCATCATAGTTACCTCTATAACTGAGACAGCGAGTAAATTTTATACGCATAAACCTCTGTAACTGAGATAACATTGTTTGTTTACTCATTCTTATTCTACCCACAAAGTCCACACGTAATTCCAAGTCCACCTCTATTAATGGAACCCTCTGTAAATGAGACAGATATTTATTTATACCTGTATATCTGAGACACTGGGTAAGTGGAATACCTCTATAAGTGAAATGACATTGCAGGTCCCTTGATGTCTCACTTAACCAGGTTTCACTGTATTAAACGAGGAATGTAATCAAACACATAGTTCAAGATTACATAAAACTAATCTAAACATATAGATTTTCAAAAAACCTTAATAGTTTACTATTTACAAAAATAAACTAGCAAATAGCTAGAAATCAACAAGCAGTTACTTTAACTAAAATAACTTTAGTATTTAATAATAATAAATAATTAAATAAATTTCGAATAAATGCCAATGTTTTAAGCCTCATATAACACTATCTGACAGATAAAACTCTGAAGACCGAAATTCTAAAGCCAGATAAAATTGAATATTTGACAATTGTTCCATACTAAAAACTGTCATGTGTTTATTCTACAATTAAGAATTAACTGATAACTGAAATTCAGCCCTTAATTTACTAATATTTTTAAATGGCAAGATCGATGTGGTATTTTGCAAACATTACGCCTCGTATCTACTTAGCAATATATGTCGCGCTACATGTTGCACCACTTTATTGATAAATATGTCTGTCAATAGAACAGGTTGTTAAATATTTTTGTTTCATAAAAATCCTTGCCCCACACTAGAATTTTGTACTGTGTCGTGTGTACGTTTACAAACATATAAGTTTACATACACATGACATACAGACCCGGAACAACAATCTGTGATCAAATGAAGAGTTGTTCCGTGAGAGAATCACTAGAAAGAAAGAGAAATTTGACTGCACGATTGGTGCGGTGGTTGGGCAACTGCCTGCCGCGCAACGTGTCGCGGGTTCGATTCCCGCACGGAAGAACTCTTTGTGTGATCCACGGATTGTTGTTCCGGGTCTAGGTGTCATGTGTATGTGAACTTGTATGTTTGTAAACGCACCCACGACACAGGAGACAATCCTAGTGTGGGGCAACGTTTAAAAAAATAGAATACTATAATACCTCCCTGACTAACAAGCATTTGCGTGTAATGTAACATATAGATTCGACTTTGAGCATTTCATAGCAAGATGTCAGACATTGATGTTACAAGTTGTATCAAGATATTACACATTGTATCATTGTTGTGGTGTGGGGCAACGTTTTTTTTTAAAAAAAAAGAAAAGTATCGAACCCGCTACGCATTGCGCGGCAGCCAGTTGCCGTGCAGTCAAAAGTCATTGGTGCTCAACAAGTCTGTCAACAGAACAGTTGCCTAGTGGACACGAGGCATTTAGATGTTAGATTGAAATAAATCATGGTCTTTGATTGGGTAAAATCATTTTTTTGAATATTTAAATGTTATTCTGTTTTTAAATGGAAAATACTTCAATAAATGTCACGGAAATTTATCCAGTCGTTTCCGAATTACTATTACAAATAATGTAAGAACAAATTACAACATTTTAAAATTAAGTTTTATCCGGTAGACAGTGAGTTAACAGAATTTCAATTTTTATAGTCATTTTAAATGATAAAATAACCCCAAATACGTACATTTTGTACCTTTATAACAACTTATTATAAAAAAAAACATAACTTCACTATAATTTGGAATGCTTAGCCAACACATTATTTAAACAACTATAGTTTTTATAAATTAACAACAATAAAAATAATTTAATTTTACAACGAACGGCTTTATTTCATTAAAACACATAGTCACCCGACCAGTCGCGCAACCACAGTGTCTGAAAATAGATACCAGATTAAGGGTTGACTCAGTCGCCGGCAACAAGTTGCGCAACCAAGTAGCCACAATGTTAAAACGCCTTTCTAATGTTGTCTACAGAGAGACACACCAGCAGCTGTAGTCAAATGCCATTTAGCGCTTGTCTACATGTAGAATAGAAAACCAAATTACATGGGATTGACGTAAACTTTGACACTTGTCAGTGTCATCCCCATACATTTTGATTTCTACTTTCTCTGTAGACAAGCCCTAAAGTGGCGTTTGGCTAAAGGCCCAGAACTAACACTAAGATAGACTCAGTCGCCGGCAACAAGTTGCGCAACTATATAGACACCAGGTTAAAACTGTACATTTCATTGGTTTCACGACCTGGTCGTATGATTATAATGTCTTTATGAAATGAGAGCTATGTCGCACTGTCGACTAGTCGCCGGCGACTGTAATTTACTAGTTTCAATAGGTATTTACGCACTTGGTCGCTAGTCGCTCGCCTATATCTCGGTCGATAGGGGACTAGTCGACAATGCGTAATAGCTCAAAGGCTATTGATAAAGATATCTATTTATAAAGTAGAATATTTTTTAAATTACTACTACATTATTATATAAGTTAATATAATTAGAACTACAGTCAGCCGAGTCATTCAGTATGCAGGTAACGAAATAAATATTGTTTCAGTACAGAGACAGTAACCATTGGTTGTCTAGAGCCGACCAATGGTTACAAAAGATATGGCTTCGTTACAAAGCATACAATTTAGTACTTGCCAACTATACTCGGAATTTTAATTCGATTCCAGATTTGACAATTTCAGTGTTGCAACGTTATGACAAGTACTAAATAGTGACGTTGCGAAATTATTCGATATGGAAATGCAATATTTCTGGATCGATTCTTCTCGTTTATAATTTTAATCTCGTAAACTAAGTATATCAGGAAATTAAATATTTCTGAACCGATAATTTAGTGTTGACGATTAATTAACGATCTGAGACTTTTCTTTAATAATTGTGTGTGAAATAAATAAAAAAATGTAATCACGAAGGAACATATAGATGTATTATGGTAATAAGTTATTTTATAAATTGTCGCCGTCATCGCTATCGCTATCCTGTCACTTTCTGTAACATTTATTATAAAACACACACACTGATTGTTTATCGATTTTTGTGTGCATCACTACACTATTATATGTGGTATCATTATTTCACAAAATGACAGTAGCTATTGTCAAATCTGGAATCTAATTAAAATTCTGACTACAGTCAAATTCAATAATTTTTTTCAAACTGTCAAAAACGACAGTTTTCTATGATTTTTTTACGAGATTGTGTATTGTGCCGTCACGGTGTTTTAGCGTCAAACAGTATGCTTATTTCTTAAAAATTTGCTGGTAAAGTACTAAAATTAAGTTGGTCATAAAAGCAATTAATGAAAGTGTGATTATATTTTAATATTTCATTGTATTGAACAGTCGAAATAAAAGTACCCAATTCAGTATAACAATAGCTACTGTCTCTGTACTGAATCGTATCTTTATTTTCTTACCTGCATACTGAATGACTTAGCTGACTGACTATTTTGAAATAGAAAGAGAGAGGTGTGTGATATGTATAGCGTTGTCTCTTTCACTCATTCCTGAAGGGGGTAGGCAGAGGTGTATAATTCTGTTGACGTTTGAGTATCTAATGCCCATTTTTCACCAACGATTCCTAAATTTTAAGGAACCCCTAAGCTAGGTGAGGTGACCTTTAACGACATTTTTTTTTTCACCTACCTATACAAGACACCTAACAGGACAAGTAAGGGGTTCGTTTAGGTGTTACGCCACGATGAGTAGCTTTTAGTTAAGAGTTGGTTTAGAAGTAGTCGGTGGAAACGTTCATACAACATCTAATAGTGAATGTGACTATCGGCATGAGGTTTCAGGTTCAATTCTCAGGTCGAACAAAGCATTATAACTTTGAATTTCCAATAATTCTATCATAAGCACGTCTTATTAAACTGCACCCATCCTTTCCAAGATATAAAAAATATAAAAAAACCTGAATTCAAGGTGCGAAAGAGACAACACCGCACTCTTTCACACTCTCTCTTTCTACCCCAAAACTTAAAATACTTAAAACCAGACCCACCCATATTTAGATCCACTTATCATCTTTTTTCGTTCCCAAAAGGGGCGTGGCTTCTTCTTTGATCTCCTTCACAGGACTATCTGGTTTGCCGTTGAAATATTTGGCTGAATTCACACAAGACACGATGTACGGAATCCCGGCTAGATCGGATGAAAGAGGGTTGTAATATTGTCGGTAGCAGAATATCGCCACGCTGAACCCTAAAACTGAACCCACCAGGATATCTGTAAAGAAAAGAAAGCATCAAAATCGGTTCAGACTATTTATTTATTTGTTTGCATACCATAATGTATATAAAAGATGTCAAAGTCAAAGCATTTATTTCAATTAAACCATAGTTTGGTACCTTTGAAACGTCCACAAATCCTTACTAATATTATAAATGGGAAAGTGAGTTTGTTTGTTTGTTCCACTATCACGCCGTAACTACTCAACCGATTGCTTTGAATTTTTGCAGACGTAAAGTTAGAAGTCCGGATTAAATAATAGGATACTTTTTAACCCGGAAAAAAAATATATTCCCGAGGAAAAACAAAAGTATTGGTATAGATGGCGCTGTGTGTATTGGTATATGTCACATAGGCTACTTTTTATTCTTTTGTGACGCGAGCGAAGCTGCGGGTAAAAGCTAGTACAAAATAAATAATAGTCTGTCAGTCAGTCCGTCAGTGAAGTTAGGTGAAGCTAAGTGCTAATTCCAAAATGTAGGTATTTCTTCACGGTAGTTAAAATAGCGTGATCGTGACCAAGTATCGATAAGGTTGAAATTGTTTATAAACTTAGAACAAATCACATCAGTAACTAAGAATTCTATAATAATTAGTTTTTTTAAGGGGGTAAAATTATCGAATTACTGCTCCCGCCTGGGTGAGGCGGGAGGGAGTGTCAGACTCTTACTAACTAAAAACCACCCCGTTCCTTCTCCTGCACGTCGAGCCGGAGCCCCGGTTACCCGTTAGGTTCTCCGCGACTCCGAATCGGCATCGGCCCTATTGGGCCCCATCTGTGGTGTAATACAAGTATATCTCACCTTCCCAATGGTGGTGGTAGTCACAGCTTCTGGAGAGTGCGATACAGGTGGCCACCATCAGCGGCAACAGGCACGACATCACTCGCACGGCACTGCCACGACGCCGTGACAATACGCCCAGACGGCCACAGATCCAGAGGGACGCCGTGCCCAGGGAGCAGAAGGAGACTGGGGGAGAAAAATAGAAGAATAGTTATATTTTTTAAAGTGTGTAAAACAGTAAACCCTAGGTGTCGTGTATGTGATAATATATAATATTATAGTTGAATGAATACAACTCGGTTATAAAAACATTACGCCTTTTATCCCCAAAGGGTAGAGGTGCACATTACGGCACTTAATGCCACTGTACAATGTAACACCCACTTTTCACTATTTTTATATGTCCCATGTCCCATATTGCGATACCCCTTGCGACTATTTAACTTAAAATCAGTAACACTCAATGATATTTTGATTTTGACCAAGCTATAAATGCGAGCCAACAGTAAATACAGACAAGGGATTAAGTAAGGTGACAATTTACGTTTCCAACATAACATAACATCACGCCTTTTATCCCCGAAGGGGTACGCAGAGGTGCACACAGAAGTAACGCGCACTTTTCACTATTTATGTTATGAGTCCCATGTAATAGGGGGTGAGCCTTTTGCCATATACCGGACACAATTCCAGACTCCGTGCTACCACTGAGAATGTTTCAAAAACCCAGTAATACTTTGCCCGATCAAGGAATCGAACCCGAGGCCCCTTGCCCGGCAGTCCTTTATTTACGTTTACCTTTTCAAATCCTTACTAATATTATAAATCTGAAAGTGAGTTTGTTTGTTTGTTTGTTCCGCCTTCACGTCGTAACTACTCAAAAGATTGCTTTGAATTTTTGCAGACGTAAAGTTAGAAGTCTGGATTAAATAATAGGGTACTTTTTAACTCGGAAAAAATTGATATTCCCGAGGAAAAACAAAAGTATTGGTATAGATGGCGCTGTGTGTAACAAAAGTATTAGTATATGTCACATAGGCTACTTTTTATACTTTTGTGACGCGAGCGAAGCCGCGGGTAAAAGCTAGTACCCAATAATGTATGAAATACTCACGGCTGCTGTGTCCACTAGGGAAAGACTTGCGTCCCTCCAGTATATCAGCCAGGTCTCCAGTGCATCCCAGCACCTTCGGCTCCACACCATCAGGGAAGCAGCGGTAGTAGAAATCCGGACGCGGTCGGCCTACGGACAAATTTTTTTATTAAAAAAAAAACGTTTCCTCACATTAGGATTGTCTCCTGTGTCGTGGGTGCGTTTACAAACATACAAGTTCACATACATATCACACCCAGACCCGAAACAACAATCTCTGGATCACAGGAAGTGTTGTTCCGTGCGGGAATCGAACCCGCGACACGTTGCACGGCAGCCGGTTGCCCAACCACCGCACCAACCGAGCAGTCATTAGAAAATCAAATAGATGTAGTTTATTATAGTTTTTATTCTCCAATGAGGTGAGATAAAAGTAAAGAATATTATCATGTTAGATTAGGGGGCGTCCACATCTGGCGTAGGCGCAGCTTGCGAGCCGCTCGCGAGTTCCGCATTTGCGGAGTATCCGCCCAATCCCCCCCCTTTCCCCAATCCCTGAATCCGCAACAATCCTCAAATTTCTAATCCCAAAAGGCCGGTAACGCACTTGTAACGCTTCTAGTGATCCAGATGTCCATGGGTGACGACGAGTGCTTACCATCAGGTGATCCGTCTGCTCGTTTACCGGTTTACCCCATAACAAAAAAAAAATGTGAACGCACCTTTAAAGTTAAAGTGTGGGAGAGCCATGCTTCGGCACTGCTAGGCGGGCTGGACCGAAGCGATACCACGGCCTCGCAGAAAACCATAGTGAAACAACGTTTGCGTTGTGTTTCGTCGTGTGAGTGAGGTTACCGGAGGTTACACTCCCATCCTCTCTCCAAAACCCCCAACAAATCCCGATATTTCTAATCCGCAAAGTGCTGGTAACCCACTTGTAACGCCTTTGGTGTTGCGAGTGTTCATGGGCGACGCCGATTGCTTACCATCAGGTGATCCGTCCGCTCGTTTACCGGCTTATCCCTCAAAAAAACATGGATGGATCACCTGATGGTAAGCAATCGGCGCCACTAATGGAAACCCACAACACTATAAGAGTTACATATCCCTCAGGAAGAAAAATAAAATCAATTGATCTTGATTTTTATGTGATCCAAAAATTGTTGACTGTGTGTGATGTGTATGTGAACTTGTATGTTTGTAAACACACCCACGACACAGGAGATAATCCTAATATGTGGGGACATATCAAACAAAGAGGCTACTTACCAACAATGAGTTTGACCATATCAGTTAAGACGCCATTGATGCCAAGAGCCAAGGACCATGACAACAGGATCTGCGAACAATATTAACATAACATCACATCTTTAACGATTCGTAAAAGATAAAAAAAAACATTTTACCGCCTTCAAGATACCGCCAAAAAGGAGAAGGTACTATGTTCGGCTAATTTTTTTTGTTTGTTCACCGATTACTCCGCCATTTGTGAACCGATTTCCAAAATTCTTGTTTTGTTTAAAAGGGTATACTTCCGAGATGGTCCCATTTCAATGAGGTCGGGAGAAGTCATTCGATGATTTTCCAATCACCTGGGTACTAAACTTTGCTTTGCTTTCGCATTTGCTCTTTAGATTCCAAGGTTGGTGCAACCGGCTGCCGCGCAACGTGTCACGGGTTTGATTCACGCACAGAACAGCTCTTTGTGTGATCCACAAATTGTTGTTCCGGGTCTGTGTGTGATGTTTTTTTTATGACATACTTAAACTAGCAGATCACCTGATGGTAAGCAATCGGCGTCGCCCATGGACACCTGGAACACCAGAGGCGTTACAAGTGCGTTACCGGCCTTTTGGGGATTAGGAGTTTGAGGATCGTCGGGGATCCAGGAATTGGGGAGATTGGGGAAGGGGAGAGTAATTGGGTCTCCGGTAACCTTACTCACACGACAACGTTATTGTAAAGAGAAAAAGGAAATGGTCAAGCTTACCTCAAAAGCATCGTTGCAGTCGTTGTACCAGGCCCACGCCATCAGCGATATTAGGCACGGTACGGCGAGGACTATTGTCCACAGCACACTGCCTGGCACGTACGAGTCCACGCGTGGGTACATGTAGTACGTCTCCAGTTCAGCCTTCTGTACCACTCGGACAAATGGTATCATTGTTTCCATGTAACTGTTGGCAAGAAGAAAGATATTTGATGGGGCGACGTTTGACCACTATCTCGCCTAGTGTTAAGCGAGGATGCGGTCTACGATGGAGCACGTCGTCCCATAAGCAACCTATTCACTCGGGCCTTGAAGACACCCAGGTTATACCCTTCAGGAAATACAGACTGGCAAAGAATTCCACTCTTTAGCAGTACGCACAAGGAAGCTTGAACTTCCTAACATAATAATAATAATTGGGTTGTTGTAAGCGTATCAAAATTAAAAATCTAATTAGTACGTCGGTTAGATAATGAAAAAATATTATACACGTATTTTTTTATTTTTTCGTACTAAACTGTCAAACATCGCGAGGACAGCGGTGACCGCAACTTATTGTTCTTTAATTAATTGTGTCTATAATGACGTTACTCAACGAGTTAAGTTGCAATACTTAGATAAAATGGCGCTAAGTTTAGGAGTGGGAGGTCATTACGTCATAACGTGCTACAAAATGTGGCACGCTGTGACGTCACACGATATTTCAAATTAATATATCGTCGAAACAATTTAATATTGTGAGAAAAGAAAAAATATGTGTCTAAAGTTTTAAATTAATGTACCAGACGGACATTAAAATAAAATTTAGGAAACTACCCCTTTTGTGAACTTGTGTTTGTGTATATGTGTGTAACTCAATCAAGTCCAACCGGCTGCAGGGATCGGGATGAAATTTGGAACAGGGATTTTTTTTTTTTTTTAAGGGGTGAAAATCATCGAATGACTGCTCCCGCCTGGGTGAGGCGGAAGGGAGTGTCAGACTTTTACTGACTAAAAACCACCCCGTTCCTTCTCCTGCACGTCGAGCCGGAGCCCCGGTTACCCGTTAGGTTCTCCGCGACTTGGAACAGGGATAGCGAGCGAAACTGCGGACATAAGTTAGTTAATTTATTCGATTTATTCAAGTAGGTAAACATTACAAAATTATGTTTTTATAATAACTAGCGTGGGACATATTAAATTAACTAAAAATCGCCGGTTACTATTTTGACACTACTCTGAGTAGGCTACGCGACATTGCTGCGACCGCGCACGCTGCTCATGAGGAAGAACCTCTCTGTGGTTCGAAACTAATAGAGCTTTTCTTAGTATCTTCACGTGGTTAACCCGAAATTTTTACTTAATTACAAAATTACCAGTTACTAATTCAATTTATTCATATTTATAAAAAATGTATAAGGTACTAAATTTATTTATTTATTTATGTACACACATACAACATAAAGGACAACACATACAATTAAATTAAAGTACAAAGGTACCACATATTCTTATTGGAATTTCTTCCTGTGGACCTGTTAATATATCATTAATTAACAAATAATATGATTCAGTTTAAACAGTTATCACACTGAATGTGAAAGTTTCTGTTTGGATGTTTGTCCGTCAATCACACTGAAACTACACATTTGGTATACAGACAGGGTGTGGGCTGACTTAGGTGATAGGATATCTTTTTATCCCGATTTAATCCTGCCATGGGATAAAACAGGAACCATATTAATATATGGATGAAGTAGCGGGCAACAGTTAGTATCTAGATAAAAGTATATTTGAATTATGACCAACTGTCTGAAAATTAAATATACATCGAAGTTACGGCATGGCAACAGATATCTGTTTATTTTATGCAAACACACACAAGGAGTATTACACTCCTTATCAATGAGTAAACATACAAATATGAAATATAAGCATTAATCTGCAGCTTTGCCCACATTCCTGTGCGATATAAAATACCCTGTGTGTTAATTTAGACACTAATCTACCCCCATTCGAAATTTGATCTAGATCCCTTCAGCCATTTTGATATAATTGAGTAACAAACATACATAAACATTTGCATTTATGACATAACATAACATCCCGCCTTTTATATCCGAAGGGGTAGGCAACGGTGCACATGACAGCACTTAATGCCATTGTACAATGTAATACCCACTTTTCACTATTTATGTTATGAGTCCCATGTAATAGGGGGTGAGCCTATTACCATATATTGGGCACAATTCCAGGCTCCGTATTGCCATATATCGGCCACCATTCCAGACTCCATACTACAACTGAGATTTTTTTTAAAAACCCAGTAAAACTTTGCCCGACCCAGTTATCGAACTCGAGACCCCTTGCCCGGCAGTTGTACTTGCGACCACTCTGCTAATGAGGCAGTTATAATATTAATAAGGCAGTAAAATTGGTACTTTGGTTGTCTAGTGAGAACAGAGTGCATTAGTCACCAACACATAGGTCCTTCTCTTCCGATAGGCGTCATAAAGCAGACTAAGGGATAGCAGAACTCTCTGATTTTCGGTTTTTCTATTAAATTATAAGTACTGCACAGGGCACACCACTATATGCATAATATGGATATAAGCATATTATGCAAACTAATAAAGTTTGCATATAGTGCACCTCTGCCTACTTCTTCATGGATCAAAGGCCGTGACGTTATGTTAAAATCTTTTATTTATAACACAAATAAAAGTGCGATAGTATTTACAATAAATTATCATTTAATTACATAAAAGACAATAAAAATGCTCAACAAAATGCATAATTTAATGACTCAGTAATACATGTGGCCATAAACTGATACGGTTCTGATGACATCACAAAGTTAACATCATTTTTGCAAAATGTAAAACGGTAAATTTAGTTCCGCCGAAAAAAAAAATCGAAATTTTACATTGTAATTTTTTAACTTAAAAATGTTATTTTAGGTCGTCTTAGCCAGGTGTATGCAAGATTGATTATTGAAAAGCTATTTTTAATAAGATTTAGATACAATCAAGTTATATTTCATTGATAAAATCGAGAAAGGTGTTTGTAAATAATAAACGAACATATGGACAGGACTTACCAAAAAGTGGTGACTAGCATTATCCGGACTACAATCTCAATAAATAAATTAAAGTTGGCAGAACGAATTAAAGCCATTTTTATTATGTTTTTTACACAAATAAATAGATAACTTTGTTAAAACCTTTTCGCAACACAGAAAATTTTGATAGAGGATTTGACGTTTTGTTGTTGCGTTCGGAAATTTCACATTTTCACAACACAATCAATTTTTGTTATCAGTCGGCAGAAATACGTTTTGTTTCTGCAAATGCTGTTTAGTTTTATAAGAACCTGGCTATAAAATGTTATTTGTTGCACCTACAAGTTTATTTTATATCACATAGGAGACATTTTTTTAAAGAAATTTATTTCGAATTTCCACAATAACATTATTCTTCTCCGTAATATGCTGTTTTCAAGGATAGTATCTAGGTTAGTATAATTCTTAGGTCTCTGAATTTCCGAACGATACAATTAAGTCTAGGTCATAAGTTATTGATCCATTCTGTAAGGTCGACTGTTAGGTCTTGGTATAGTTGTGTGCTTCTATACTTACTAGGTATATGCTTAAGGTGCTATTTTTGATAGTGTGATTGCTAGAGAATAATAATAATAACATAGAAAGATCCACATAAATGACGTATTCAGTTTGAAAGGAACATTATTTTTATTCAACTTTGTATGTTCTACACTTACGATTTTGTTGACAAAAAGAATTGTTTGTATGAGAAATTATCCAGTATCGTCTCAGTGAGTTACTGCTGAGGGCGCCAAATTCAAATTATTTTCATGAAACTAAAAATATAAAAGTAATTATATTTGGACGTTAAATACTATTTATGTTACTGGTTTTCGTTTTAAACTGTTTTTAATTAATTTTAGTTTCAATCTCATCTAATCGCTGTGTTCAAAAAAGGAGGACACAGTCTCTTGAAATGACTGTCGCACCTGACTATTATAGCCTTACACGCAGAACATACGTCAGTTTCTGAGTCTGGTAACGTGGTAACCCATTACACACGTAAACAAACATAACACACTGACATTTTGGTATTTCCATCATTTCTAAGTGACATTATGCCCGCCTTTTTCTCAATGTCCTTGTGAGTGTGGTTAACGAAAGTCCAATGCTGGCAACGCACTTGTTGTAGCTCTGTCGGGTTACTTTGAAGTAAAACAGAACAGAAGACTGCACTTTAAGTAGATTTATTTACTAATTATAATTCAGATCGGCGGCGCACCGACACAGAGAAATGCCCGAATGCTATGGCGTGAGTTAGCGGAGTGTGTGGATGAAGAAGCGCGGCGCTCGCGCGGCTTTGGTTTTTTATACCCCAGTCCCGCGCGTCGCCGCCTCTATGGTCGATGGCCATACTATTGCGCCGACACACTTATAACTCCTCAGGTGTTGCATGGCGTCCATGGGCGGTATTCATCACGTCTCATCAAATATCTACTTTATACGGAACATACGCTTTTCTTTTGTTACGATTGGTTATGAAAATGAGTCCAACGTACCTACACTAATATTCCATTTTTCATCCTGATTAACCTGGATAGCTATGTCCTTTTGGGAATTACTTTTGGTACAATCTATTAAAAATAAGATTTAGAAAAGACACTATTACAATCCATTTATAAAATACAAAATTGATAAAAATGAAAAGAAACTCGAGACAGTAAGTACCTTTATTTAATTGAAAAATACAAAATTTATCAGTTAAACAAACAGTTTCGGTGGTTTAATCAGCGCTTCGTCTCTGGTATGTAGGTACCAAAACTACGACCAGCATCACTAACTCCAGCCAGCGAGCTATTAACTTTTGATGACTTTTGTCCATACATAAAGTAGAATTAACAACTTAACATAAGATATAAGGAAACAAATATGCAATTTTCATTGATTAACTCGTCGAGTACCGGTTTTATAGACACAATTAAAGAACAATAGGTCGCGGTCACCGGTGACCGCTTGGTGTTTGACAGTTTAAATACCTACCCAGTCGTTTTTATTCGTAAACAAATAAATAAATGACACCAATCATACTATTACGACTTACCAAAATGCGATGACTAAAAGAACGCGCACGTATATTCTGAGAAATAAATCAAAATCTAGGGAACGTTTAAGCCCCATTTTGTAGATTTTTTTCAGAAAGCTAACAGATAACTTTAGTGAATAAATAACTACACTTTACGCAGCAGCGGTACCAATAAATAAGTGTTATTGAACGTGACATTCGAAAGTTACGTTCAGAAATTTGAAACGAATTTATTAATGCAAAACGTTCCGTTTTTGCATTCGTAATTTTTTTTATTATCTTTTGATTCTCTTTTCGTATAAGAAAAGCTATACTATTGTACCTAATTTAAATTTACTTATGATTTGTATAAAGATAATTTTCTTATTGACATGTTGGTAAGTTTAGAACAAAACTATATAAACGCATAGAAATTTTCCAACTGCAAGACTTTCTTAAACAACTGTAATACTAAGACACGCTTAGGTCTAAATTTTATTCTTATTAATAGAAGTATAAAGTTTATCAACTCCTGAACGATCCGTCAGCCCTCTATTGATCCAATCTGCAAGGCCATCTATTAAATAGGTCATAGTTCAAATTAAATAAGTCTTCGTCACGATGCCTTTTATTCTCGGAAGGGGTAGACAGAGGTGCACATCACACTAATATTATAAACATGAAAGATTCTTTGTTTAGATATTTGGGTGTTTGTCCGTCAATCATGCTGAAACCGCTGAACGGATTTCCATGAAAAACATTGGTATATACAGGCAGGGTGTAGGCTGACTTAGATGATAGGGTATTTTATATTCTGATTAAATGCTCCCTTGAGATAAAACAGCAATCATATTCTACGCGGACGAGTCGCGGGCAACAGCTAGTACACAATATACCTAATACTGATTTCACACCATTTATATTATGAATGAGTCCCATATAATATAAAGATAGATACCTGAGTCTGCTGCAAATTACCACAGACATATAATCTGGTCTGTGCAAATTACCGTAAGCACAGGCCTGCGGACGGCGAGCCTGGGTGGCTCGCCGCCCGACCAGAACTAGACCCGAGCGTACGGCGCGTCGCTTTCCACGCGCGCCTCAAGGAGCCACCAGACCACCACGGATGGGGCCCAATAGGGCTGATGTCGATACGCAGCCGCGGGGGAGTTAAAGGGTTGCCGGGGCTCCGGCTCGAAGGGTAGGAGTAGGAATGGGGTCGTGTTTAGTCAGTAAGAGTCTGACACTTCCTCCAGCCTCACCCAGGCGGGAGCAGTCATTACATGACTTTCCACCCTTATAAAAAAAACTGTCAAATTAGGGTAAACCTTAAACATAAAAAAAGAAATATATAACTTTAAAATAAGTAAGTACGTTTATTTCGCTTAACAATAATAAAACTTAAGACTAGATATTACAAAAATAATAATCATAATATTATTATGTAACGACAAATCATACAATATAATTTTAAATGCGAAAAAATGCCAGACGTTGTGAATTTTTTTATATCAATTTTTACACTATTTGTTTTTTGAGATTTCAAACGTAAAATAAAAATATACATATGTACATACATAAATAAAAGATCTTTAATTATTATGACCAAATATAAATATCTTGTTTTACATAACCATGAAGTCTCGACAATGATAACGACAGAAATCGATCGCTAAGTCAGAAATTCCATAATTAACAGTTTCTCAACTTTATTACAGATCTGATAGAAAATGTATTATATAAGTCGCGACTTAGAGATTAAACATAGATTTATTTTGTTTTCAATGCCTGGACTACCGGCTAGTTTGATCAAAACTGGTTTTTAATAATACCCGGTCTAAGTAAAGTCTTAACGCTAAACACTGTAAAGAAACCCAGAAAGCATCCTATATCTTTATATATAAAAATGAAACCCGTTACCTGTTGTCACGCCATAACTTGAGAATGGCTGGACAGATTTTTTTGTTGTTGTGTTTGTTATTGCCAGGAGAAGGTTCTTATGTTAGAAAAAATCCTGAAAATCTTATGGCAACGGGAGAAAACGGGATTGCGCGTATACGAAGTCGCGGGCAGAACCTAGTTGAAAATATAAAAATAGTACCACAAAATAAATTGACTGAATTTGAATGAATATTTCAATTATAAAAGAAAATAATAATATTTTCTACCTACCTACTATTAATTATAATTCTGTTGTCGAAAAATAATACATTATATAAATTTCCGTAAGATCTCACAAGTATGAGAAAAAGCCAAATAGGTCTAAATGTGCCTATTACGTTTAGTTGTTCCATTCGTTTAAATAACAAGAACGTAACGCTCGGATACTGAAAGGCTACTTTATTTTAAGTTTTAAATATCGTACCGTCTCTGTCATTTTACAAAGAATTTGTCATGACAGAGCTATATTTAAGTGCAATTTAAAATTGTGTGCCGTTTGAGTTCATTGAACGTAAGTTATATGACAAGCCACACTAAGATGCCGATTCGGAGTCGCGAAGAACCTAACGGGTTACCAGGGCTCCGGCTCGACGTGCAGGAGAAGGAACGGGGTAATTTTTAGTCACTAAGAGTCTGACACTCCCTCTCGCCTCACCTAGGTGGGAGTAGTCATTCGATGATTTCCCCCCCTTAAAATAAGGGCCCAGACATAAGTTATCACACAATGCCTCTCATGACTATGAACCCTTAGCGTGGTTTGAAACTGGACAAGCAGTCACTTGAGTAAAACGTAAAAAAAAACGAAAAAAACCGTACCTACGTACTTTCCTATTTATTAGTTTTTGTTTACAACAATTGATTATTATATTTGTTATAGGCACTTATTTAATATTGATAGATTCCTTTGCACTATAAAAGTCTTTACCGTCAAGTAAATAAAAACTAGTTTTGTAAAACAGGATAGCAAATGACTGACTAATATGAAGTTAGCCACAAACGTATATCTATCTCTGTCTCTCGTTACTGTTCATGCATACTGCGCCTCTTTCACTCAATGTCATGCATGCAACTTCAGAACTTTGTGATGTTTATATTTAGATTTTATAATGCCACGACTAGGCTTATCATATGTATCGTTTCAATTTAAATACATAAAAATTAAAAATACTACACCATAGTCTATCAGCGTTAAGAATGAAATCAAAGTACATACCTAATTTTCTTCAGAATAAATTGATAACTACACATTTTTTGAAATCAAAGCTGACCATATGAATTTTTAAATACCTCTTCAGACATTTTTGAATATTGTGAAGATAACCTATTTTTATAGTTTTCCCGCCAGTAGACTACACAGATGATAGGTACAAAACGAATTGATACGCACAGATTATAAATAGTATCCCATTGAATGCGTCCTGGCATTCTTGTAATAGTCAAAATACTCTTGTGGTGAGTTCGCATGTTTTTTCACAACATCGTCTAGCTGCATTTGGTCGCTCCAGTCAGCCTGAAAATATCAAAGTTGATTAAAATTAATACACCTTCTATTTTCAAAAACAAAAATTGGTTGCCTGTAAAGTCGGTATACGGGCGAAAGTTTTACGTGACAACGACTTTGAGTGGTGTGCCTTTCACTTTTTATGTCTGTCTCTTTCGCTCTTAGGCGGGCTAACCATGCCCGAGTGGAAGGGACGCGTGTCTCTCACTCGCTCTTATTGTGAGCGCATAACGTGAGGTCGTGAGCGGAGCGTAACGCAGTTTCTTGAAGTGTCACCCGGCAAACCAATTTATAAGACGTTGTCACGTCAAAAAAAAATTATTTAAATTACCTTCTCAAGTTCGACAAAGAATTACTTAGTATTTTTAATTAATACTGATAGATTAGATACCATGCAAAGTCGGTTTATTGTAAGCTCAAATGGCTGGGTATGGAATTGATACTAATTTCATTTTGCGGACTCCATGGACGCTGATTATTTAGAATTCCATACCATTAGGAGAAAGAGAACCATTTCCCCATCTATATAATATATATAAATGAAACCCGTTTCCCGTTGTCACGCCATAACTTGAGAACGGCTAGACCAATTTGGCAGATTTTTTTGTTGTTGTATTTATTATTATTAGGAGAAGGTTCTTATGACAGAAAAATATCCAGAAAATCCTACGTGAACGGGAGAAAACGGGATTGCGCGTACGAAGTCGCGGGCAGAAGCTAGTTTGTTATAAAAAAGAAGGTACACTTACAAAATTAGGGAATAATCCTCTCTTTTCGTCGAATTTCCTCTCATTCACACATCGGAGGAGGTACAGCCTCTCTACCCACGGCCAGATCATGTAATCCAGCATTCCTGGTCGGTGCCCTCCAAAGTAATTGGTACCTGTTGAGGACACCATCACATTTTAGAAAATCATATTGAAAACGGAATTTTATTTTGTTAATGTTTAGGTTTTAAATAGCATAATAGGCACTTGAGGTTGTTTAAGTAGTTAACTCTTTGAGTACCGTCATTATAGACACAATTAAAGAACAATAGGTTGCTGTCACAGTGTCCTCGCGGTGTTTGATAGTTTAAGGGTGGCAGAAGTTACAAAACGAGATTTCGTCTTTACTCGATAACGTTAGCATGGTCAAGAATATAGAGGGCAAGAATGTGAAATCGCTATTAGGAAACCAGCTCTTTTTCTCTCTCTATTTCCTGAAAGTTCCGACTAGTTCCGAATTATAACAAAAGGACAGCAGTACCAAAAGTCTTGGCCATTAGGCCGACCTATTACATAGCTACCTATTAAAGTTTTAAATAATGGATAACAGAAAGCAATGGCTTACCTCTTAAAGTTAATTCCTTTTCAAAAATATCCAATGTTTGAATAATCTGTTCGCTTCCAAATGCGAAGTTTGTGTCGAAACATTCTAAACTGCCTTTTATTAGCTGAAAAAATAGAAGAAAATATTTCATTACAATCTTGGTTAGTTGCAATCATTACTTCAGTACAAGTAGTTGTGGGTGAGATAGTCTTGAATTATCGGCCTCATCGTTCACTTGATCCCGAGCGTGCGGCGCCTCGCGTTCGCGCGCGCCTCAAAGAGCCGTCAGACCACCACGGATGGGACCTAATAGGGCTGATGCCGATACGGAGTCGCGGAGAACCTAACGGGTTACCGGGACTCCGGCTCGAAGTGCAGGAGTAGGAACGGGGTGGTTTTTAGTCAGCAAGAGCCTGACACTTCCTCCTGCCTCACCCGAGCGGGAAAAGTCATTCGATGATTTTCCCCACTTAAAAAAATCGTTCACTTGATAAAATTGCGTGTAAAAGTGCTGCCTTGAAGTCTATTTGCAGAAATAAATTCACTGGTTTCACTAAATTCTCGGTTAGGATAAAGTAGGTTACGTCACTGAAGGGGTCTTCAAGGTCCGAGGGAATAGGTTGCTTATGCGTCGACGTGCTCCATCGTAGACCGCATCATCGCTTACCACTAGGCGAGGTAGTGGTCAAACGTCGAACCATCAAATAAGAAGTAATTTAGCATTAATAAAGTTTACCGAATTCTTTTTCTTAATTTGGTGACACAAAAGCTCGCTCCTGCTGCTTAATTTTTTTTCGAGATCGGATAATTAACAGTTTTATTAGAAAAAATAGGAGACCGAAGGATTTTTTTCTCGGTCAGAGGTTAAGCATTGCCATACAACGTGGCAACGCTGCCAGCGTTCTGGGTACTTTCCCTACTGACGCCGATGCGGACGAATTTTTCGATGATCTATGTAGATAGTTATTTTTAGTTTTCTTTCATTTAATTTTTTATCTTTTTGTATCTTAAGGTGTATATATTTAATAGTAAATCACCAGAACTGAAATAGGTAATAAAGAAAATCGAGGAGACCAAAAATAAATCTTCTTCTTACCTCATTGAACCTTTCAATAAGTAGTCTATCTTGAGCTTTAACATACGGATCTCTAGAATGCAATTGGTTCCTCGTGTACTTCTCGTCCAAGTAATCACAAATCACCACGCTTTCAAACAAATATTTATCTCCGTACTCCGTTGGGATCTCCAGAACTGGTATTTTTACTGTGAAATAGAAAAACCGAAGGATTAATGTTAAGTTATGGTTACTATACTAAGATTAATCGTGGATAGATATATGGCTATAATTTTTAAAAAATTCTCAGTAGTAGCACGGAATCTAGAATTGTGCCCGGTATATGGCAATAGGCTTACATGGGACTCATAACATAAATAGTGAAAAGTGGGTGTTACATTGTATAATGGCATAATGTGCACCTCTGGCTACCCCTTCAGGAATAAAACCCGTAATTTTATGATATGTTATATGGATATAATGGTAGCTATAATTTTATGACTATTTGGTAAGCATCACCAATTTAGGGAAAAAGCTAAAAAGATGCGAAAAATGAGATGATATTTATCTCTCTATACTTTTTATAGCAGTCGAGTAAATCTGTCTGCTAGAATAATAATTTATCGCTTTTGTTCAAAAGTACCTTTCTGATCTAATTCAAATAAATGATTTTGACTTTGACTTTGTTATTATGTACCTACTTGCATAACTCCTGAACTTATTTATCTAAATTAGATAATATTTTTAGCCGTGTTCATAACTATTAGCATAACGATTGTATGATAGCACAAATTTACACATTTACCAGAGAAATCAAGAAAAAACACTCAAGTGAAACTAGAAGAGGGCTGCTATTAATACACTGCTGCACACTGCCTCGTTGGCCGAGTGGTCGCAATTGCGACTGCCGGGTAAGGGGTCTCGGGTTCGATTCCCGGGCCAGACAAAGTATTACTGGGTTTTTAAAAATTCTCAGTAATACTGAGAGAACTGTGCCCGGTATATGGCAACAGGCTCACCCCCTATTACATGAGACTCATAACATAAATAGTGAAAAGTGGGTGTTACATTGTACAGTGGTATAATGTGCACCTTTGCTTACCCCTTCGAGGATAAAAGGCGCGATGTTATGTTATGTTATTATTAAGACTTTAAAACTCACATCTAGGGTTTTTATTCCGGAACCATTCAGGTAATCTAAGGGGGTCTAGTTTGTAGACCTCATATTTAGCTTTCTTCGCCTCCAAAATTAGTAGGACCCTATGTCCATAGGGGTTCATATCCACATGGTATAAGCGCAGCTTGTCTGTTAACGCCGGTGGGGGTAGAGGACCTGGAATTGAAAAAGAGGGATATTTAAGTCCAAAATGAAATGAGCAAAGAGTGTCAATATTGAGTTTTAATTCAGATAGCATAATAATAAAGAATAACTCTTTATTATTATTTTTTCGTTTATAATAATAAACATTTTATTGTACACCATTTACAAAAGACACGAACAAGAAAATAATACCATGAAAATAATGCCACTAGGCATTAAGTCCGCCTTTGTATACCTACATGAAGTGTAAATAAATAAATAAAATAAAATAATAGGTGTAACGCGGCAATTCGATTTTGGTTTGTGTCGGACGCACGCGCGCAACTCTAGTGACAACACGCCACATCACTATTCCCCTTCCCCCGCTTCCCCGCCACTGACCGCTCGACGCAGGAGAACAACGAGTCCCGCGCCGGCGCCGTGACGCACGCGCTGCGTACTTGTACCGCGAATATTTGAGTTTTATTCTTTTGTATTATTGTGCAACTTTGTTTATAGTTTTAAGTTTAATCCAATATACAGTTTACAGTCATTCATGTGTCGAACTTTATTTCATGCCCTGAGAACCCTCTAAGACAAATTTCAAGTCGATTACATAGGTAAAAATTAGTTTTGGCGTGTTGTACAATGGGCGGCCTTATCGCTTACTGCAATCTCTTCCAGGCAACCTTAGGATGGATAAGTAACTGTGAGAGACGATAAGCATGACATGTTATTTGTTCATACAGTTTCGAGTTTGGTATTGTTGCCGGTGTATGGTAATTAGCCCACTTAATCAACCCGCACCAAGGACAAGTACCACTTGTAAGGTTAAGTCATATTTTTAGATCTACATTTAATTTCATATATTATAATTTTTAATAGTAAAATAAGTTGCTTAATTGGTATCACCAAACGAAATAATTTAAAAAAATAATGTCATTTTTCCAATGGGGAACACTTGGACAATGGCGGCATTCGGAGCGAGCTCACGGAACTGTACGGTTGTAAGCTATAATGAGTTGAAAATAATTACCTAAATAAATAAATATTGTTTGTCTGCTGGAGATCTTGGTGTTTTCTTTGGAGTCTTATACACTATTGTTCATAAGTTAAACGTCTCGATATTTATAACGACAAAAATCGATCGCTAAGTTGATAATTTATTTAACAGTTTTCCTATCTCATTATTCTCATTATTATTTAACAGTTTACTTATCTCATTATTCTGTTATTTTGAAAAATGAGGTTTCCAATCTACTTTGTATAATGTTATGTTGCGAACGTTCTTTGTTAAACACGAATATTAAAACAAAAAATTACTTTCAATTAAAAAAAGAGTATAATCTATATATATAAAAGAAAGTCGTGTTAGTTACACCACTTATAACTCAAGAACGGCAGAATAAATTTGGCTGAAAATTGGTAGGGAGGTAGCTTAGAGCCAGGAGAAAGACATAGGATACTTTTTAAACAAAATTTTTTTTTTGCTTTTTTCCGAAAATCACGAACGGGGACGGGAAAAAAATGGGATTACGCGTACGAAGTCGCGGGCAGAAGCTAGTAGATAATAAATCTAGATCTAGTTTTTTAGACTACACACACTATCTCTTCCTATAAACACAGTTACTGATAATATTTGCATTTTCACACGTTTCCATGTAGGTTAGGTACTTTCAGGTGATAAGTATACAAAAATAAATGATAAAGGTATAAAAATTAATCCCCCCGAAATGTATGTATGCGCGTAACTATCAAACGACTGTACCAAATCGAATATTTTTTATTGTATTTATTATTGTTAGGACTAGATTTACCTGCTATAGTACTTAAGGGTTTTGATTTGGTTCCCAAACGAAGACGCGCGAAGTGTTATAGGTTAGATAACAGTGTTTTTTTTCTTTTTTTTTAATATTAATACCTAGCACGGAATTTAGAATTATGCCTACTGTATAGTAAAAATTATCATACATATTTTATCTGTCAAAATAGTCTCTTAATACAAAATTCTTACACGATCGAAATCATTTTAAAATTCTATGCGAGCAAAGCCATAATCGAGAAGCTAGTTGCCATTATCGACTACCAGTAAATGTCAACAACTCAAAATGAAAGTGAATTAAAGATCCTTCGACGTAAATTATCGATGTAACACAGTTTTGACCTCGCGAAGAAATAGGTTAATGGCTATTCAGCCAATGTTGTGCGGCCGTGGGTGGTACCTGTGTTTGTTTATAATGCATTTAAGTGTAGGTCACACAGTCACTGCTAGACGGGTGAGTATGGGCGTTAGAAAAGTGAGAATTTCTTTTTAAGTAAGAAAAAAATCGAGACTGTCTGGGACAGTCCATATAATTCCATAATCCATTCTAAGACTTGCCATAATTTTCGTCTAGGAGTCTTGGAGATTGCAGATTAAAGTCAAGGATTTATGTACTTGGGGATAAATGCCGCAAGACATGTATCGGCGTAATGTCGAGCGAAGTCCGGCAATGTCGCGTTACTTCACCGGACATCGTTGGTGACATGTGTTGCAGGACATTTTGTCCACGCTCTATTATTAGGCGGGTTGAAAATCGCAGTTTAAAAGGTTCAGGTGATAAGTTCAAGTTTGTCAGAGAGCGCTGCTGCCCGGTCTGTGTGATGAGGTCTGTGTTAACCTGTGTCAACTCATATGACAATGTTTCACACCAGATTTCTATAAGTCCGTGGTATCTCACCGATGAAGCCCATTCGTGGCGAAGCATAGTTGTCTCACGTGAAAGCATGTGAACCAAACTATGAAAAGAAATGAAACGATGCGCGCCCATTTCTGTCGCTCGCAAGTTCTCGTTGTTCCTATAGCTTGCTCTTTACATTAATTTACATGATTGCTAGTACCTTTAAACAAACGCCATTTTAGCGCTAGTCTACAGAGAGAGTAGAAAATTAAATGTATGGGGATGACACTGACTAGTGTCAAAATTTACGTCAATCTATGTCTATAGATCTATACATAATAGTAAAATCGTAGAAAAGTCAAAACTGTTCATTGAATATTTTTTTTAAAAGAATAATTCGGGCGTGATCTGCAATCGATACTGGAGCCGAAAATATGGTTTTTAAAATTCTTGTCTGTTTGTCTGTATCCGGGATGATCTCAAAAAGTTCTGCATGGATTTATTTAAAATTTTGTATGATTATAACTAACAGGTCGGGTCAACATATAGGCTAGATATTATCACACTATTACCTACGGGGTAAGCGCAGTAAATCACTATTCCACGCGAACGAAGTCGCGGGCACAGCTAGTCCCTTTAATTTGGTTTTCTATTCTACATATAGACAAGCTCTAAATGGCATTTGGCTACAGCTGCAGGTTACGCAGAACTGAGATTGATAAAACAAGATACTATCGAGTGTTTTGATTTCGTAATTCTCAATGGTAACACCGTCTCTGGAGTTATGATTATGCAAGGCTCGCCTTCTGTTTTATCGGTCTATTAATAAATAAAGACTGCAATAGTTAGTTTGTTTATATATTCCACATCGGGCTTTGAAATAGGTACATAACGTTACAGTATTTTGTTATTTGTTTTAACTTAATTTTGTAAATCTCAAAGAATGTTTTACGCTTTTCGACACTGAAACTACTGCGCTGATTTTGATCATTATTTCTTCAGACAGAATTTAAACCATTGGTACATGTGATGAGCAGCGTGCGCGTTCGCGGCGACGTCGCGCAGCTCACTGGAAGAGGAAGAACCCTTCTGTGGTTCGAAAATAGTAGAGCTTTTCTCAGTTTATTCACGTGAGTAACCCGCGATTTTACTTAATTTAGTATGTCTCACGATAGTTATTATAAAAACATTGGTACTACAAAAAATTCATAACAATTTTTTTGTCAAAAACATTCTATTAGGTGAAAATAGGAGAAAGAATAATGTCAAAATAAATATTGACGCGAGTGAAACCGCTTATAAAAGTTAGTTTTACAATAACTAGACCTATTTTGATCCTTGAGTGTCCCCAGCCTCTTATTGACTGATAAGCGGTTATTCACCTCAATCTGCAAACTAGAACGTCTACTAAACAAACTTTTAGAAAAAAAGTGGCATAGACAGATGTGTAACTATAAAAAACAGAGGCGAATTACTGCGAGGACCGCCCGGAGAACACGGTGGAGCATACGGTGGCGGTGTGCCCTGCGTGGGCTGAGCACCGCCGTGTCCTCAGGGATGATGTGATCGGCGACGGCGACCTCTTGAATGGCTCTAGTTCAGACTATGGTAGGGAGCGAGGGGGGACTAGGATGCCGTTTCCTCATGCTAGCTAATCTTCTTAGCAAACCTAGGCGGGGCGCGTGAGGGAACGAATCTCCTCACGCCTCTGCCGTCGCAAGAGACACTCTGGGCGTTCTGATCGCGAGACGATCTCCGGCCACCGTAAGTACGGGCCTGCGGACTACAAGCACGGGTGAGTCGTCGCCCGATCAGAACTAGATCCGAGAGTGCGGCGCGTCGCGTTCCGCACGCGCCTCGAGGAGCCATCAGACGCCGATACGGTGCCGCGGAGGGCTTAATAGGTTGCCGGCACTCAGGCTCGAAGTGCAGGAGTAGGAACGGGGTGGTTTTTAGTCAGTAAGAGACTGACACTCCTTCGAGCCTCACTCGGGCGGGACAAGCCATTGGATGATTTTCCCCCTTCAAAAAAAGGCCAGCAACTCAATGGTGCCCTTAATTTTTTTGTAGCCGCCGTTACTCTATGGGCAGTTGGGCTAACGCGTCTCGTGGTGCCCCATTTTAACCTGGCGCCCTAGACCTTTGCCAAATTTGGCTAAGGGATAATAGGCAAACCCTCTCTTATAAAGAGCAGACCCAACTTATAGTTGACGAAGATTAAGAATTTGAGAAACCAGGAAAATGCATTAGATATGTAGAATTCTTTGTTCGACCTAGAGATTGAAATCTAGAACCATGCCTTCAGTAGCCTTCAGTAGTATTTAACTCGTCGAGTACCGGTTTTATAGACACAATTAAAGAACAATAGGTCGCGGTCACCGGTGACCGCTTGGTGTTTGACAGTTTAACACGTTAAACGCCATGGGAGTCACCGGTGACCGGCGTTAGCGGAGGATTTACCTTCAACAGTTTTTTATTGGCAGTCAAAGTCTTAATATATTTTTCGCCATGCAATCTTACTTAAAACAAAAACAGGCTGAATGACTGACATAACTACTCATAAAAAAATGTCACTGATTTTCTGTCAAGCCTTTGGTAGGCCCTACAAAAATGACGTAATTGCTTAAAATATTCATGATTTTCTTAGATTTTAACAGAAGTCATGCTCTCGTTCTCAAATGTATAAAATTCTGAATGGGAAATGATG